CCATATGAAAAACAATATCTGTTATGTAATGTAAATGTTATGCAATGTATATGTGTGCTATTTAAAAACTAAGAGCACTATAATTATCCTATAATAGATATTTAAGTCTCAATTTTAAAGATGTTGATGCCCAAAGAAGGGGTAGGGATCTTCACAATGAAGTTTAGCATAAGTCTCCTTGTGGGATTTTATTAAAGCTGCAGCATTAGTATATATTTTCATTTATGAAATCCTCCACTACTGGAGAGTATTATTTGTACTTTCTGAACAAATAGTTCTTATTCATTGTAGCTGTATTGTTAACAGAAATTTCAGCATTTTCCTCTTTTATGATATGTTATTTTCCCAAAACCTTAATTTTGGAATTTCACCAAGCATTTCTAGACATATCATTAGTCATAGGATAACTTTAAAAAGTGACTCTCATCCATTCATAAGTTATGTTGTCCTTACAACATATGCAATCCTTTTTCCCTGTCTAAACTATGGTTCATGTATATCCTTCAATTAGTAAAAAGTACCTTTAAACTGTAAGACAATAAACATTTTTGTAGAACCACTTTCATCTCAGATCTTGCATAATTACCATTATATTTCACAATGAGCCAACCATGTATTTGACCCGACTGACATGTTTTTACTCTTAATACAAATAATCAAAAAAGAAAAGAATCTTTCTTATGGAAAATCACTTTTACAAATGCAATTAAGACTCTCTTTAGTTCATTTTGATTTGCTTGTTTATTTGCTTCCTCTGGGGCAAAAATAAACTATTTTCTTATTATGGCTCAGAACATTAAGTCATAATTTGTGAACTTGCCAGATAGTAAAACTGAACAATTTTGGCTCTGGCCAAGTTTTGGGAAAACTCAAAAGAAACTTAGGTGCAACAGGAAGAGATGTTAGTAATTCCAGTTGTTCAGCTGTTGCCTTTAAAGTATTCCCTGAATTGTGTTAGAGTATGTTACTGCATTGCTGTGAACCATAACTGCCAACTTCCACCCTAGAGATGGCTATATTTCAGATGAATGAAATGATACTTGTAAACAAGTCTGTAATCATTATAAAGCTTACCAAACAATTTAAGCTCTTTAGAAACACACATTCACTATTGTAAGCAGTTGCCTATTGCTTACTTAATTACAGCTTTTAATAGAGAAGAAGACTTTTAAAAATGCAATTTATAACAATTCTAAACTTAAATTTATTTTTATGATGTTTGTTTTGCTTTTGTAAGTTTCGGGTGTCAATTGACTTCTCCCCAGACAACCTGGTTGAAATTCCACCCTTGATTATTCCAATGCACTCTTTAAAAATTCCTCAGAATATTTTTCTTTAAGGCTAACAACTGCCCACTCTGGAATCCAGATGCAATATTTACAGTATGATGATTTTGTTCTGCTTTCCACACATGGCTTTTTCATAGACTGTCTCTCAGAGATGGAAAATTCTGCCTCTTTTTTAGATTTTAACTTTCATCAGAATGACCTGAAACCAGGTCTTTTCATCTTAGATGACTCAAGATGATTCAAGATTTATCTGTAGTTTGGTTCCCTGAATATCCTGGTGGTAAATTAATCTAGGGCTGCTCTGGTGGCTTAGTGGTAAAGAATTCGCCTACCAGTGCAGGAGACAAGGGTTTGATCCCTAGGTCAGAAAGACCCCCTTGAGAAGGAAATGGCAACCCACTCAAGTATTCTTGCCTGGAAAATCCCACAGGCAAAGCCTGGCAACCCACAGGTCATGAGTTTGCAAAGAGTCGGACAAGACTTAGCGACTAAACACCAATAAATTAATCTAACATCTCTTTTTAGATAGCCTACTTCATGGAGAACTCTCACCAGTCGCTGCACGTAAGCAGTACCAAAAAAACTATGGTTGCCAATAAATGAAATCTATAGATATCAGCAAGTGTCAGTGGGTCCCTGAAAGAATGTGCTGCAACATGAGCAGGCTTTGAGATTTGTGGTATTGTTCTTTAGGCTCAGGGTTTCCCTGGTGGCTCAGTTGGTAAAGAATCCGCCTGCAATGCGGGAGACCTGCGTTCGATCCCTGGGTTGGGAAGATCCCCTGGAGAAAGGAAAGGCTACCCACTCCAGTATTCTGACCTGGAGAATTCCATGGACTGTAAAGTCCATGGGGTCACAAAGAGTTGGACATGACTGAGTGACTTTCACTTCACTTTCACTTTCTTTAGGCTCAAGCCAGTACCTTCTTTCTGCAAGATTTAAATAATATATAATGTTATCCCCTCTCCTCCCAAGGTTTTTCAACTGTATGGTTGTTCTTCTGACACAAATGTATTGGACTCTCCCAAATCTCCACTCAAGAAATATGAAAAGATCTTATTTCTTAAAGAGTTTTAAGTTCTGCAGCTATTATCCATGGGGACACTGAGGGAAGAAAAAAAAAACATATGGAGAATACAATGTTCTTCTCAAGTGGGAACATTTTAAACCTCACCTGAAAATAATAAGCATAATACTTTACACTTTTGTAGTCATTTAGAGTTGGAAATATGTATGCACCTCTAGCGTACTGTTTTACTCTCAAAATTAGTCTTGTAAATGGAGAAAGGCACTGAGTTATTCAACAACTGTCTATTGCCTGCTAAGCACTCTGAAGGGATGATCCACGATACACAGGACAATCCAAGGAGATTCCACTTGCCTTGGCAAGATAAGACATAAATAGAAGTAAATACAATAAACTGTAGCCTGCCAGGCTCCTCTGTCTACAGAATTCTCTAGGCAAGAATACTGGAGTGGGTAGCCATTCCTTTCTCCAGAAGATCTTCTTGACTCAGAGACCAAACCCAGGTCTCCAGCATTGCAGGCAGATTCTTTACCATTTGAGCCACCAGGGGAAGAATACAATAAGTGTAGTATATAAATATCTCCTGTAATAGAGAAATAGAGGGACAAAGGCAGGCTTAGAATTATGTTCCATACTATGCCAGGAAATGTCCATGAATTATCTCTTAATACCCTCCTAACTCTGTAGTAGCAATCTTCTGGACAATTTATGAACAAGGAAATCCAGGCTCCCAGAATCTAAGTTCTTTGTCCCAGGAAGCTAAGTGCTCATCATGAGCTCTGGACAGGAATTTCTGGCAGTCAGGACATCAAACAAGGCTCCTGACTTATCAGTCATTACCTACCCTTCTCCCGCTAGGTCAGAATGGTTTTGGAAAAAATGCAGTATTAGCACATCTCCATTTGTTTTCTCTTAACACAGTACCAGTGTCCATCAGGCCTTGCCCTCAGGGCAGGTAAGGAACTTGTCATCCCCCCTTGGTGAAGGAGGTTGTTTGCTTTTCTTAGCTGACTTCGTTGAAGACGACCAGAATCACCTCTGGGTTTGGCTTCTGAAGTTAGGCAGACTACCAGACTGAGTGCCCAGGGGGTCCTTGGACGTTGAGTCCATAGAGTTTCAGGCACGATGGAGACGTGTTTTGCTTGCGAAGAAACCTAGGTTCAGACAGGGGAAATGACCTGACCAGGGTCATACAGTCTGATGGTGGCAGACGTGGGATCAGAGCCAGGTTTCCGGACTCAGCCCAGTGCCTCCCGGGATATAATGAATTAACCCCCGAGTCACTTTGAAGCCTTTCATCTGCTTCCCTCTACTGCCATTTGAGTTGGGGATGTCATTTCAGCCAATCAACAGCCTTCTCTCTTCAAAAATAGAAAAGTGGATAAGGGGGGTGGGAAAAAGTATGTTTTCGGCCTATGAAGGTGACTGATTCATTTTACCATCATTCATCCGATGTCCGCTCGGTGCCAGATACTAGGCACCCAGGGTACAGCAAAGACGGCTTCCAAAGATCGAAAATGGGTCTCTCCCAAGACCAGGCAGGCTCCGGGCCTTGGCTGCCTCCTCTCGGATTGGCCTCCCGGAGGCATCCCCCGCCTCCCGACTGCCAGCTCCTGCAGTCCCCACGTCCCCAACGCCCAGCGCAGTGCCAAAACCCAAGCTGGCGCGAAACAGCAGGACTAACACTCAATATACCGGCGCTGAGCTCTCCCGGGCTCCCGCGAGGCACGCCCCCGGTCACCAAGGCAACCAGGGAGGTGCTGACCCTTGACCCCCGGGCCCCGCCCGGCCCCGCCCCGTTGCATTCTCGAGACCAACATGGAGAAGGACAACCCGGAAGTGCCGCCGCCGCCTCCTGCTTGGTGCTAGGAGCCGCCGGCCCGGCGAGGTCCAGCCGCGCTCCCGCCGCCCTGCAGCCCGCCGCCCCCGCCACGCGGTCGTCTCGCGCCGAGGCAGCCGGGGCCCCCCGCCCGAGGTCTCACTCCGCTCCCCCGCCCCCCCCAACACCCCGCCCCGGGCGATCGGCTCCCGCCCTCACACCCGCCCGAGAGGAGGAGCCGAGGTGTGGGGGAGGAGGAGGGAGAGATTTGCTAGAGGGAGCGAGGCCGCGCGAGCCGGCGGCGGTTCGTATTACCGGGGTCGGGAGGAGGAGCCCGGCCGGGCCCGCACGGACTCGCGCAGGGCGAGCGGGAGGCGCGGAGGAGGCGGGAGGGGGGCGCCCCGGTGGCGAGGAGGCCGGCGGGAGGCCGGAGACTGAGAATTAGGGCGTGGGGGCGCACTCCATTCCTCCGCCGCCCTCCACCAGGGCCTTGGCGGCCGGGCCTCCCCTGCTTGGCAGGCCCGGGAGCCGCCCGCCGCTGCCTAGGGCCCGTCCCGAGGCTAGGAGGGGCGCGGCGGAGCGTGGAGGTGCGGACGCGAGGCCTGGACGGCGCGGCCAGGTGATGCTGGGCCCCTGTGTTTCTCCAGAGGAAAGGGGACTCCCCACCCTCCCCGCTGCAGAGCAGCCTTGTCCCTGGGCTGCCCCAGCCAGGCGTTTGGACCTCAGCCCTAGAGGGAGCTGGCAGCTGTGATTTTGCCTGCCTCCGTTTAAGTGCCCTTAGGATGCAGTGATCAAGACATCAGGCTCTCCCTGCGGGAGGGGCTCTTCCTGCGCTGGTGAACTTGGTGCAGAGAAAAAGGACAGAATGATGCTCTCCGAGCAAGCCCAAAAGTGGTTTCCGACCCATGTGCAGGTCACCGTGCTCCAAGCCAAAGATCTTAAGCCAAAAGGCAAAAGTGGCACCAATGACACATACACTATAATTCAGCTGGGAAAGGAAAAGTACTCCACCTCTGTAGCTGAGAAAACCCTTGAGCCAGTCTGGAAGGAAGAGGCCTCTTTTGAGCTACCTGGGCTGCTAATGCAGGGGAATCCAGAGAAATACATCCTTTTCCTCATAGTTATGCACAGGTCCCTGGTGGGTCTGGATAAGTTTTTAGGGCAGGTGGCCATCAATCTCAATGACATCTTTGAGGACAAACAAAGAAGGAAAACAGAGTAAGTTATGTAATTTATTTTGAATTGGGGGGAGCTTAACTATTATCTGAATGGATTTTCTGTTCTTGGAAATTATTTGTCTACTTGGGGCATTGGTTTTTGGACTGAAATATGACCCAGTTTTAAGCACCAAATTTGCATAAATCTGAAGTAAAAATAGCCCTTGTGAAGACACATTTTTTTTTAAAGTGGAGTCTAATGATCCCTTACTCTCGTTTGAGGTAAACATCTCAATACTTGAATATTTTGCGCAGGATTTTAAGTAAATTAACATTGTTTCACAGCTTATAAGAGGACTGGGCCATAGTGTTGTTGATCAGTTTAAATTATTATAATCTTTAAACATTACAATTTTCAGAAAATGGAACATCAGAAAAGTAAATCTCTTCTCTCTATATATATATTTATTTATATATTTTGTTTTGTAGTTGAACTCTGAAGCTGTCAAGTGGTGAATTACCGAATTTAGAACTCAGTATTTTATTTCAGCATCATAAACATTGTTGGCTTTTATTTCAGCTCAGATTTCAGGGTCAATACATCGTGGTGGAGTCTAAAGCTATTAAAAGAAAAAAGTTTTAAAAGTATGTACAGACATCCTCATTCTTGAACATAGTTACTTCAAAGTTAGCTCTGCAAAGCCAGTGTGTTTAGACCATATTAAATGCTATCAGATTGGAGACAGTGATTGAATTCTGGTGATGAAATGACATATTCAATAAAAACATGGACTTTTTAATATGACTTCCAAGCTTAGGTTAGATATATTCTAATTTAAAAAAACCATAATATAAGTTAAAACTAGGATATTATGTCTTAAATTGAAAAATGGTATGTTTTTTGCGATAGTGATACCCCTTTTTTAAACTTATAATTAGTCTGAAAGAATGTTTGAAGTGGATGGAATTAATGGGAGAAAAATACAGGTTGAATTTATAAGGGGATGTAACATTTCAAAAATAGCTTTGCTGTTATAACTGATATTTACACTTTTAAAAACTTTCTTGAAGATCATGTTATTTTCTTATATTTTAAAACAACCATGTCATGGTTTTTCTGTACATACCTTCCTGCAGACTTCTCTTGATTGAAATTTTTGCTTTTATTGAAAAAGTGTTTTTTTTAATCAGGTCTTTTCCTAAGGACCTAAAGGTTTAATATATGTAAGGTAAAAGGGTAGAGAGATAAGTAATACTAGGAATGCCAGAGGAAACTGAAGAGATGAAAATATTTTAGAAGGAGAGAAAATGGTTTAAATAAAGTGTAAAGTTGAATATATATCAGTGATTTTAATAATACTGATTGATAGCTATGAAGTAGCATTCAGTTACCTCTGAGGAGTTCTTCATCAAATTTAAACTGAAAAATGGATGATCACTGACTAATTTATTTCAAATTGCCAATTCTGGATGACCTGACTAAATAATATTTAGAAGTGTTTTGAATGTAAGCTTTTTAAGTTTATTGCATCTTCAAATTTGATACTGCATTTACAGTACTTTTAGTGTTAATGAATGATATACTACAGGCTTTCTCTGTAATATAAATGTTCCAAATGAAAGTAGGCCCGACTGTGAACCCAGGGATTCTGAAGATGGAATACACTTTTAAAGTTTCTTCTTGTTTTACTCCTTATCTTTGGCAACATCACAGTTACAATAAATTTGGCTGTAAGCAATACTCTAATATCATCGTCTCCCTACAGAAATTCTCTATTGGCTACTAAAAAAAAATGGATTAGAACTTTTGGGGAGGAAAATGCGGTTAAATGTTATCAACAGTGCTTGTGATGTTATTGCATTCAAAGTGATTTTCAGGTTATTAAATCCCTAATATTTGTGGATAAATGGAGACCACATATTTGATGAGATCTCTTTATTCGTAATATTTCTAGTTTTTTAATATAGTTAATAGCTTCCTTTTGCAGCACAGCTATACATATGGCCCAGTAAGAGACAGACTTGAGCCACCGGTGTATTGCAAGAAAGATATTTAATATTCTGCACATTGCTGAGCCTTGTCAGCATATTCCCAGGTGCTTTTTAGAAAATGGGTATGGGTGATGAAGGCGACCAGCTGATTTGGAAGTCCCATGGAACTGCTGGGTGTGACACTTTCTACTCTTGACACTAAATAAAGACAAGGATTTACAGCTTGTCTTCCATGATAAGAAAGAAGTGTGGTGGCTAAAAGTATCATTTGATTTATTTTTATATCTTGGAATTAAAAGCTTTTTTCCTTCTTTCAAGGAGAGGGATAAAGGGCCTGAGCCAGAACACTTTCATGAGTGGGACCTGGAAAGAGAACTTTGCTGTATCTCCCATTTTAATGGGCGTCTGGGTTGGTTCAGGCACAAGATTTAAGAAAACAGTACAGTACTTAATAATAGAATGGTAAAATTGTTTATGCTATTATGTTGTGTCAATTCATTTTTTTTTTAACAGCAGAAGTGGGCCATGTTGATTTTTTTGTTTGTTTGCCTTTAATGCTCATGAAAAGTAATAACCAACCATACTCATCCAAAAGTTAGGTATGACTCAAACACATGCAGGTTTTAGGACTTGTGTGTGCGGCTGTATATGCACCTGCGTCCTGGCCTCTGGCACCCTTCCTGCCAATCTTGTCCCATTTCTGACCACACAGCACCAATTGCTTGGGAATAGTTCCCACATGTGTGGTGGTTTTTGAACATGGACCTGTGCCCACACAAAAATTGAACAGAGGCCATATACAGTTTAAATCTAACACTCCAGAGGTGAAAAAATAAAATCAGCATTAATCCACTAAGCCTCAAATGCTGTGTCTTCCTTTTATCTTTTTAGAAGCCAAGGAAAACAAGTGCTATCTCTGGAATGATTCTTGAAGGTCTCATTAAGACTTCCCTGTTATATCACTTTCCAAACAAAGCAGCTAGAGTTATTTGTCATGCCTATATTTTAAGTTGGTATATTTGTTAAAGGTCTTTGCAGTTGGGTCTTTGGGGTTTTTTGTGTGTGTGTTTTACTTTTTTTTGTCAAGGAGGATGGAAAATACTGTATTTAGAGTTTATATTCAAACACTGACTTGCTTTTATCCATTAAAGCGTACCTAAGTCTTCAGCTTTTCTTAACCAGAGAACAAAATGGTGCAGCATACACACAGACATACACAGAGTTGTAGTATCGTTGTTTTAAGAATATAGTTTTAGAAATGAAAATTCAGTAAACATTTATTTAGTGCAAGGAAAATTGCCTTCAACAAGCTTACACTCCAGCAAGACAAAACCTACCTTGCCCTTGTGATTGAGTCTCCTGATTAAATACAGTGTCCTGTGGTATACAACCTGGTATGCGTTTAACCTTATTAACATATATGTGGTTCATTAAATACAAAAGAATTACTATTTTCATGCAGCTGTTACTGGTCAGCTTTGTCTGTTTTCCTTGTTAACTCCAGTCTAACATTAAGAAGCTACTTATTCTCTGTGCCTGAGCTTCCTCTTTGTGAAATAAGGATTTTGGGCTAACTGATTTATTTGGTGTCATCTCTAAAATTCTGTTATCGATTTTTCCCCCCTCAGATTTGCCATGCTTTGTTACATACACAGATCTGACATGCTGTGAGTTAGTAATTGGGTATATAACCTTGCTTTGTTTTCAGGCTTTGGGAGTGTGCACCTTTGTGTTGTTGAAGGTTCTCTGTTCCACAGAGTTTATTGCTGTCGTTTATTTCTAGTTTCTGAATCCTCACATTTCACCATTTGCCTCAGATAAAGGGTTTTCTCTATTTGGGGTCTCAGGTTAATGCTTTCTGTTATAAGACTTTCTGTTTTTTAAAAGTTGCTTGTTTTGATGCAACTAGATCTTAACTGATTAAATTGAAAATATTTCACTTGCATGTTACTTTCTAAGATGTAGCTGGTGTGTGTGTGTATATGTATATATACACAGACATATACACACACATACAAATTATGTGCCAGTTTTCTTTTGCCTGGAAAGATCTTTGAAACTAGTGTTCCACTTGATAGTAATGTAGCTTCTTCTGGTGTATTCTGTAAAATTAGATCTGAGTTATTTAAGAAAATTAACACTTGCAGAGCTGTATTTAAATAATGACCTGTCTGCAGAAATGGATATTCTTCATTGTTTAAGCAATGTGAAAACATTGTAGGAACTCTCATCTCTGCTGGAGTTTGTACTTTTTGGCTGTTTGCCCTGTAGACTGACCATTTATGACACCAACAACTGGAGAAATTTTCATGGATAAAACTACTGTAAATAAACCAAAATAAATTCTGCATTTTACACATCATTTGAAAATGGGCAGTGTAATTCACTCAAGTGGCTAAAAGCGTAAGATTTGGGTCCAGTTAAAATAAGCTTTATTTGGCATTGTCACAGTAGCAAGTTATTGAAACAGAGATTGTAAGAGGCAGCATTTAAGCCTTTTTTCTTCAAAAATGCTTTACAAGACTTATTACCATTTGTCACTTCTTGCATTTTACTTATTTTGCATATTTTATTCAGGAAGAGGCTTTGACCCATTTTATGTAAATCTTAATTACATTGTGGGCTTCCCCGTTGGCTCAGCGGTAAAGAATCCACCTGCCATGTAGAAGCTGCAGGAGACACAGGTTCCATCCCTGAGTGGGGAAGATCCCCTGAAGGAGGGCATGGCAAGCCACTCCAGTATTCTTGTCTGGAGAATTCTATGGACAGAGGAGCCTGTCTGGCAACAGTCCATAGTGTGGCAAAGAGTCGGACATGACTGAAATGACTTAACACACACACACACAGTTTACATTGTAAGCAATTTTCATGATGAACAAACTGTATGGAGTAGTCTCCCATGTTAACAAAATTCTTTTAATAGCTTTTACAGAAGAACTGTTTTGGCTCAGAGGCTGAATATTATTTTATTAAAGGTTTGGTTGCTATTTATTATTTTATGGTACTCAAAAATACTATGTATTGATGAATTATTTCAGGGTCTCTACCTCAGTGTCTTTTAATGCTAAACAATATTCTTCAGCCATGAGCCACACTTGCACTAGATGGAAACATAATAGCTATTATTGGTAAGAAATTTTGATGCGTGATTTTCAAATCATGAAAGAGAAAGTTGTCTAAATAGCTTTTCAAAAAAGACTGATTCCTTATGTATGTGGTACATGGGAGAGACCTCCCTGTTTTTTTAAATGAAGCCATGAATAAAACTGGAAGCACTCTGGCTGGTTGAAGCTTCTCCTTCAGTGCTTAGATTGCCTTGATGTAGAGTAACTTTACCTAAAAAAGCTCGATAATCCTCTCTTCATTACATATTACAACCCAGTTTTTCCTTCTCTTTAAGGTGGTTTAGATTAGAATCCAAACAAGGAAAAAGAGCCAAAAACAGGGGTGAGATAAAGGTCAATATTCAATTTATGAGGAACAATATGACAGCAAGTATGTTTGACTTATCAATGAAGGACAAAACAAGATCTCCTTTTGCAAAATTAAAAGATAAGATGAAAGGTAGAAAAAATGATGGGACATTTTCTGATACATCTTCTGCAATCATTCCAAGTTCTCACATGCCTGATGCCAATACTGAATTTTCAAGTAGTGAAATACAGATGAAATCTAAACCAAAAAAGCCTTTCCTTTTGGGTCCTCAGCGACTCTCTTCAGCACATTCAATGTCTGATTTAACTGGGGCCCACGTATGCTCGGAGAAGCTGAAGTCTGGCACCGTTGCTCAAACACACCTTCTTGGCCACCAGATAGATTCCTTTGGAGCAGTTCCGGAAAGTGGTAAGTGATGTATGCATTCTTTCTCATTGATCCTCTGTGATCTGAACTACCTTCTTAATTTTTAAAGTTTGACTTCTAAAGTTAGTAAAAATTGAGGTTTCTTGCTAGCATTTTCTAAATTAGTCATCAGATATTTATTGAGTACCTACTGTACTCAAAATTGCTAAGTTTAAAGACAGAGCTGGTCTGAATTCAATATTGTATTTATAGAATTAGATAATAAAAATGAGTCTTGGTCTCTTTTCATGGCCTGGCTGCTGCTTTTTTTTTTTTAACTTGTCATTTCTCCTATCGCAGAAGACTGAAACATAAATGAATATTCTATTTCATCAGAATTTTCCTAGAAAAGAATCTTGTTGTTCAGAAGTAAGAAAGTAAATTTAATACTACTGATGAAAAAACAGTGAGAATTTATATAGCACTATAATGCTGAGCAGAACCTCTAGTTTTGATATTATAATTTGTTTATGTGATTGTTTCATTCTGAGCTGAGTAAATTACTAATTGTCTAGCAAGATACTAATTGTTATTAGCCTACATACTGCTGTACCTTAGCATTTTAAGATTGTTTTCCTTGACTATTTTGAAAGGTTCATATCTTTAAATAGCTAATTGCTCTCATTCTAAAAGCAGCAGTATGCACACAGGATGTGTCAAATAGTGTGATATAATGTGTCACTGATTATGTACTAACTACAAAATTGTTTGCAGGAAGTCTCAAATCTCCACACAGAAGAACATTAAGCTTTGATACTTCTAAAATGAACCAGCCTGACAGCAGTGTGGATGAAGGTGAATCGTCTTTCGGAAGACAGAATGACCCATTTACAAATGTGACTGCTTCATTACCCCAAAAATTTGCAACACTGCCAAGGAAGAAAAATCCGTTTGAAGAAAGCAGTGAATCATGGGACAGCAGCGTGAATTTATTTTCAAAATCAATTGAAGTAAGAAAAGAAAACAAGAGAGAAAAAAGGGAGAAAGTCAGCCTCTTTGAAAGAGTGACTGGAAAAAAAGATAGAAGATCTGATAAACTTAACAACGGGGGAGCTGATAGCCCTTGTGATTTGAAATCACCTAATGCATTTAGTGAACATCGGCAGGACTATTTTGATTATGAGTCAACCAATCCGTTTACAACAAAATTCAGGGCTTCAAATATAATGCCATCTTCAAGGTAAGCTTAAACATGGGGAAGTTTTGCTATTTTGGAAAATAATTATACTTGAAAGTATCAAATATCCTTTTTAAATTCCTTTCATTTTATTTGAGAAAAATGCTAATCTTGTTTTTATAATTAATTTTGGAGCCAGGTGGTATGTACATCTTTGGAACTGAACTTTTTATCTTAGAAGGATAAAAGATTCTTAATCCCCACTGCATTATATTTCTTTCTACTTAACGTTGGCCAGAAACTCTCAGAAACTTACGGAGAAAACTACGTAGCTTTTGATGAGGTGTGGTGAAAGGGAATCACCAGTGGGTGTTAATTCAAGCCAGAAATCTAAGTGATGAGTTGAGTTTCTAAATGTTATTTTTCATTGATTGGTTGTGGGCCAGTAGCAGCCTATGGATTATTCTTTAAGAAATACTGACTTAAGTATTAATGGTTTTTGTGAAAGTGTTAGTTGCTCAATTGGGTCCACCTTTTTGCGACCCCATGGACTTGAAGTCTGTCAGCTTTCTCTATCCTTGGAAGCCCATGGTTTTCTTTATAGGTGTTGACTATCCTTATTAAGGGCTTCCCAGGTGGCACTAGTGGTAAAGCATCCACCTGCCAATGCAGGAGACTGAAGAGACGTGGGTTCAATCCCTGGGTCTGGAAGATACCCTGGAGGAGGGCATGGCAACCCATTCAAGCTTTCTTGCCTGGAAAATTCCGTGAATAGAGGAGCCTGGCAGGCTATTGCCAGTAGGGTCACAAAGAGTAGAACATGACTGAAGCGACTTAGCATGCACATACATCCTTATTAAATGGCTATTTGGAGTAATGTTTATTGGAATCCAGTGAACCTTGGGGTTACTATAAATACATCACAGAGTATCTGTAATGATGACTTAACAGAAATAATCTATCATGATAAGGTTTAGATTGTCAAAATCCTTGAGTTTTCAGTTATGTTAATAGTACTTTTCTAATTCCTTAGTACAGGTTGGAACTGTATGGCTTAAATAAGATGATGCATTTTGCAGAAGTGAATGGTGGAATAGCTGATTAAGGAAACCTCAAGCAAAAAATAAGATGAATCTATTGGAATCTTATGCAGTTATCATGGAGGAGCATGGTAGACTGTTTGCCGTGAAACATAGATGTTCTTTCCCGAGTCAAGAACGTATGGTGGTCAGATTCCAGTGAGAAACCTGCTTAGTGGCTCTGTGACCTCTCTCAACTTCCGCATCTCTGTCTTTGAAATAAGGAAAATGAGACATTCTCAGTAGGATTGGGGGACGATAAGTGATAAAGTACATGGCATAAAGCCAGGCCCCAAATAGGGAACCCATAAACAGTGGTTGCTGTTACGTTTTATATAGCGCCATGTCATATTTTGTTCAGGAACGTTGCTTTGTTTTGTCCCACTATAAACAGAAAATAGTACTAATAATCACCCTTTTAGGCTTGTGATCTCCTGCCTGTCTTCTGATCTCTTAAAACATGCATTTGGAGTTTTCCAGGGAAAGCTAGTATTTCTTTTGTCTTCTTTTATCAAAATAAATGGGTATTCACTGTAGCTTTGGAAACTATTGTTCAGTTTTCTTTATACTTCAAAGAAATATGTTTTTATCATATGGTATTAATATTTTATTGAGAAGTCCATGGTTTTGATATGCTATTCTCAAATATTTCATGTTGGTATTTTACATACTATACTTCACATATTGTGTTAAGAAACTACAGAGAAATGTAGTTGCTTTTTTCCCCCTCAACTGAACTTTTTCTGAACAAAGTTATTGCCAGGAACTATCTGAGATAACTTAGAGATTGGATAATTTACATAATTTTAGAGTCAAAGAAAAACAAAAACAATGGGACATGGTAGGAAAATGATTTTTAAATTATGGCAGTATGTGGAAAAATAGGTGTCCTCAAATTTGTAATTGCCTTACACTTGGCTATTTACATGAACTTAAAAATTAATGTTTTAAAAGTGAGTGTGGTGTTTTGCCAAATTGAGGCTTTGTTTTGGGTTACTTCAGTATTAATGCTGTGTCTATCAAAATTAGAGCTTTAATCCTAAAGGAAATCAACCCTGAATATTCACTGGAAGGACTGATGCTGAAGCTCCAATACTTTGGCCACCTGATGTGAAGAGCTGTCTCACTGGAAAAGACTCAGATGTTGGGAAAGATTGAGGGCAGGAGAAGAAGGGGCAGCAGAGGGTGAGATGGTTCAATGGCATCATCGACTCAAGGGACAAACTCTGGGAGATAGTTAAGGACAGGGAAGCCTGTTATGCTGCAGTCCCTGGGATCGCAAGAGTCGAACACAACTGGTGACTGAACAACAGCAGGATGATATGTATATAAAATGATCGCAAGTAATGAAAAAACAATAGGTTTTTTCGTTTTAAAATTTTCTTTTCTTCATATTCATAAGATGCCAACTATGAAGACAAAAACATCTGTAGATTTCCTGCGAAGTTACTCTTCCTTTTTATGTCACAAACCATCTCCGTGGTAAATGGAAAACATTTGCGGTAAAGGGGTTTGTGGTTGTTTCGTCACCAAGTCGTGTCCAGTTCTTTCTGACCCCATGAACTGTAGCCCACCATGCCCCTCTGTCCTCTGCTAACTCCTGGAGTTTCCTCAAATTCATGTCCATTGGGCCGGTGATGCTCTCTAATCATCTCTCCCTGTGCCACCCCCTTCTTTTGCTTCAGTCTTCCCCAGCATCAGAGTCTTTTCCAGTGAGTCAGCTCTTCGCATCAGGTGGCCACAGTATTGGAGCTTCAGCCTCAGTCTTTCCGATGAATATTCAGGACTGATTTCCTTTAGGATTGACTGGTTTGATCTCCTTGCAGTTCAAGGGACTCAGTCTTCTCGAGCACCACAATTCAAAAGCATCAATTCTTCAGCACTCAGCCATCTTTATGGACCAACTGTCACATTGTACACGACTACTGGAAAAATCAGTTTTGACTCTACGGACCTTTGTCAGCAAAGTGATGTCTCTTTTTAACACGCTGTCTAGGTTTGTCATAGCTTCTCTTCCAAGGAGCAAGTGTCTTTTAGAGGTAAATTAATAGAAGGATTGACTATAAATAGATCTAGGAAGATAGTGCATTTCGAATTTTTGGAAAGCAACTTTGTCTCAAGTGGAGTTAGAAAGGATATAGTTAAGATAGCTTGGTCTGTTCATATTTTTCCTTCCAGTAGCATTCCTCAGTTATATGGGACATTTTCAATTTCTTACCTTAACATCCAAACCAAATGCACTTTTGAAACTATAGACTCGCATCACTAGGACACACACTATGAATTATTTTTTTTCCAGTAATGCTAAATAGATCTCTTTACAGAGTCTTCGGGACTCCTGTGACTGATGTCTGTGAGAAAGCTGAACAAAGTGAAGGGTGAAATACGTAGGTATGGAACTGAATTTTGTTCTTTGAGTAAACTGGTTCCCTGTGATCGCAGATAACGTGGGAACCGTATTGTTACCCTCTGGCTGAATAATGTGTGTGATTACAACTGGAGAATTTTCCTTATGCCAAAAAAATTGTACTAAGGAATACTTTCTTGAAAGTTAAAGAGTTTTTATTTGTTTGTAAGTAAAGTCGAGCTGACGAAATCACCTAGTAATCACAAAAGTTACAGCATTTTGCTTCTGTTCTTGGAATAGATCCCATAGTCTTATGTAAAACAGAGTGAAAATGAGCTAGCTTTTTGTTGGGTTGCTTCAACAAAGAGTAGGGCTCTTTGAAATCCCTTTCCCCGCAGTTGCTAACTCTCAGTCTCTTTCCTCTTACCCACCCCCACTTCTCTGAACAGAAGTCGCTGTTCCTTGTGCTGCAGCCTGGTCCTCCCTAGGTCTTCCTTTCTGTGGGCATTCCCCTATTCACTCATCTGACCACCTTACCCCTCTCACCTCCATGAACAACATGACGACAGAGCCTCCTTTTCATTCACCTTTTAACCCTTAATCTCCAGCATGATAGTAGGTAACAGGTATTGGAAAGCAGTTTTTGAATAAATGCATATGGTACAGCAGATGGATTTCCTAAAACACTACTATCATCCCCTCATTCCCTTAGCCCTCTGCTTCCAGCTCAGGATGGGCTGTGAAGGTCTTTCTGATAGACCAGCAACAGATCCATAAAGGCAGATGTGTGTATTTTTATATACAACTAAACATGATTCCACTCCAGTATTCTTGCTTGTGAAATCCCATGGACATAGGAGCCTGGTGGGCTACAGTCCATGGGGTTGCAAAAGAATCAGACACGACTTAGTGACTAAACAACAACAAAAGATGATAGAAATCTAAATGAGTCTTAAAGGACTACTAAAAGGTAATATTCATATTCTGACTGGCACATTTCTGAAGTTTGTTAAGAATTCTGTATTAGAACAGTTAGGATAGGTTACCAGCTGCAGTAAACAACCTTAGATCTCATTGGCTTGTTCCAGTAAAAGTTTATCCCTCCTTAGCGTGACACGTGAGTGCTTTGTTCCACGCTGTTTCTTGGCTCCACACGGTTGCTCAGGAGCCAGGCTCCTTCCTTGTAATACTGGTGTTTAAGGTGCGTCCCCCAGGGCTGTGCAGCAGAGCAAGAGTGGAGGATCCCGTGGATGTCTTTATGTGCCAGGCCTGGCAGTGGTGCCCACACTTGTTCTACTGCTGTTCCACTGGGCAGTGTTCAGTCATGTCCTAGCTTGAGTGCCGCCAGTTAAGAAACATGGTTTAGCTGCAGACCCGAGAAAAGTACTGGGCTTGAGCACACAGTAGTGTGTGTGTCCTGGATGCCAGCTCTGAGAAGTCTGGACAACATTCTAACACTTGGTGTGCTGTAGAAGTCCTGCTATACATGCATGTGAAAGTGCAGCTGGAATTCTTAGAGTTTTAAGAAGAATTTTATCAGTTAACTATTGGTGGTGTTTGTGTTTTAAAATTGCTGCTGCTCCTGTTTTTAATTACAAATCACAGGTGGTTTAGCAGCGTCAGTATCAGCTAATGTT